GAAATATGTATTACATGACTGTACATGGATAACCTATAATCAGAATACTTACTGGCTCAGAGATGGGGGAAGAAAGGGAAGGTAGAAGGGATAGCATTTAGAACTCAAAATTTTAAAAAATTAATGTTAAAATTGTTTTTACATGTAATTAGGGAAAATAAAATATTATTTAAAGAAAGAAATATGTATATAACATGAGTACAAAATTATTTCTTCAATTTGGCTATTCTATTGTACACATGGCAGGGACTGTTGCATTGGTACAATGTAGTAGTTTTATACCCTTTGCTTGCTTTCAATGTTTTGTCCCTTTTGAGTTCTCACATGCCCACATAGAAGTGATTTCTAGAGAAGTTTTGCAGCAATAAAATCCCAGACACATTCAGAGCCTGATTGCTTCTTGCCTGTGGTCTTGGTATCTGTTATAACAAACCGTACTCACCATGAAAATGGAATTCTGGCTATCTAAACAACAGGTAGCATAAAAATCCATTCTCCAATACTTCTGATAAATGATTTTGGTAGCTGTACAGATCCTAAAATTAAAACAGATATTTTTACATACCTTGAAAAATTTAGTGGGGGTCAGTAAGTTTTGTGGAATTCTTACCTAGGGGTAATTTCCTTCTACCATGAAGGAGGAAAAAGAGAGAGAGAGAAAGAGAGATTAAAGCTGTTGAACAGAAACAGGTTGTACTCCTGACAGTTTGTAAGTCCCAGACATCTATCAGCACTTTATTGTTGTTGTTGTGTTTGCCCTTTGTTTTTGAAGAGGACTATGACATCAGGAAGATGATGACATGACTTGCAATTGACTTTGTTTTGAGTGAGGGAGGGCCATGCAAGGTTACCAGCCTCACTTTCTCCTCCAGAGTCATCTGGGTCCAGTGACCAGACATTCATCAGGACAACTGGCAACCATCACTACCAGGAGAAGTCATAATAGTATCCCTCACTTCATTTGCTGTACCTATGGCTAAAGTGTTTGATGAATTTGTGGAATTACTGAAAGTGCACTTCTTACTAGCACTATCAGGCATTAACTTAACCTCTCTGAGTGTCAGGTTTATTATCTATAAAATGAGAATAAAAATACTTGAGTGGCTGATTTAGCTTTTCCTTGATGCATTTAGATGCTATGCAATTTGGTACATATATGTTAAAAATTGATTTTAATTCATAGTCTATGGTACCTTTTAGCATAATCTAGTTTTCATGTTTATTTATCTCTTTATATCAAGTCGATTTTTACCTTGGTGGAAATGATAATCCCTCCCTTTCCTTTCCCTTCCCTTTCTTTCCTTTCCTTTCCCTTCCCTTCCCTTCCCTTCCCTTCCCTTTCCTTCCCTTCACTTCCCTCCCCTTCCCTCCTTCACAGCCCTCCCTCACTTAAATCCAATTCACTTGAAAGTCATGACATCACCTTCCTGATGTCATGGTCTCTCTGAGAATGAAGGACAAACCACAACAGCAACAACAAATAATTTTGTCCCAGCCCTTTACTTTTAAATCAGAGTAAATCTTTAGGTTTTAGGTGTGTTTGCTATAAACAACATATTGGATTCTGCTTTCTAATCCATTTGGTTATCCTCTTCAGTTTTTTGGTGGAGGTCATTACATTCACATTCACAGTTATAATCATCCATGTTGTATTTCCATCCATTCTGTTCTCTTATACTTTGTCCTTTCTTTGCACCTCCTGTTCAACCCCTTTCTTTACAAATAAGAAGAGGGTTGTAAGAAAGAAGCACTGTGCTTAATACAAGTGTTCCATGCTTGATAGATTCTGCATCCAACCCCCTTAACCCCTTTTTTTCTTCTCTTTACCAGACTCCAAAGGTTTTGACCCTTTTTTCCTATTAAAACTTCTCCTGATGATCCACCCTCTGAAATATTATTAGAGTTTGTTTTGCTTATAATTAATCCCTCCCTGAAGTTATCCTCCTTTAAGGTCAAATCCAGCCCACCCGTTTTTGTACCAGCTGGCCAGCTAAGAATAATTTTAACATTTTTAAATAAAGTATTGTTTTTTAAAAGTACACACACACACACACACACACACACACACACACACACACACATAAATTTTTTTGAACATTCTTAGCTCAAAGGCCCTATGGCTAGATTTGGCCCTTGGGCCACAGCTTACCAAAAATCTGTCTTAGATGTCTTTTCCAACTCTACACAGGTTGCTATGTGTATGAAATGAGCTAATTCAGCAAATGCCTTCTAGATACATTATGATGACTCTATTTTGCCAACAACCTCCATTTTGTTATTTCCTATAAATCACCTGATTTGGGAGAATTCCATTCACTCTCCCCATCCCGACGTGAAAAGTACCCAATCTTTCCTCCAATAAAAAATTAGATTACTTAATCCTATATCCTGTTTTGAATCTTATTTATTGTTTTCTTTTAATGTATAAAAATCCATACAAAATCTGTATTTGGGGTCTTTGTGCCTATTGAGGGGCCTTTGACCTGGTCTATTATGGATGCTCTGCTAATAAATCACATAGCTTGGACTTTGTTTCCTCAATTAATATAAATCCACTCGTGACAGTTTTTTGGTGAGTCAATTGATTGAGAGGGGCCCTGGGCCCTGGGATGTCCTCTTAGAACTCCTTAGAGTGTGGTTTGGCTGATTTTTAACTAAGGTACTTCTTGGTAGAAGACTGTCCCAGAAGTCAGATTCCCCCTTAATCTCAAATTCTTTCAAGCTAAGATAAGGTCCCACACATTGGGAAAGCTCCCTTAAGGATCTGGTAATAGTATCCTGAAGGGAACCCTCCTGGAAAAATTTCTTATATATCAGGACCAGAGGAAGCTCCTGGTTCAAACAGGAATGACAGAAAAAGCACGCTATTGAATTACGTGAAATTTTGTCTAAAACTTCAAGAGATTCAGCTGATAATTTGCTTTGGCTCCAATATGGCACTTTTGAATATTACAAACTAAAAAAATTGAGGCTAGCTATTGAAAAATCTCATCCATACCAAATAGAATAATGATTTTGCCAGGCTTCTTTATCTGAATACCTATGCACAATACCCCCAATAGGTTTTCTTCTCTATATCCTGTCCTGTCCTTTCCTCTTCAACTGCTTTCTCCTAGCACTTACCTCTCTACCATTTTGGCTTCTCCTCTTCCTCTTCCATCTTATCCCATCTCCTATTATGACAGGAGATTTGATCTTTTTTGCCACATGGAGAAGAGATGCTCCTAAATTTGATGAGGCTCCTAGGGCTATTATGACCCAATTTCAGGCCATTTTTAGAGATTATAACTCTAGCTGGAGAGATATAACTGATTTAATGGAGACTTTACTCTCTTGGGGAAAGGACTGCCATTATTGAGGAGTATCTGCTGGCCCTATGGGTCTTCCTAATTGGCCACTACAAGACCCTCATTGGAACCTAAAATTTCTGCCTACTACACCAGGCTACAGCAATCTAGGGAATCTTTGATCAGGGGCATGGAAACATGAGCTATCCATTCCGAAAATTGGAGTAAGTTCCAAGAAACTGTCTAGGAAGAAAATTAAACCCCTAACCACTTTTATGACAGGTTGTCTAAGAATGCTAAGCAGTGTGTGGGATTAGATCCACTCAATCTGAGAGATGTGAGAATTATTCATTCTCTTTCGTTAGGCAATCCATGCCAGAAATACGAAAATATTTTCATAAGAATTGCCCTGAATGGCATGAAAAGGGTATTGGTGAGCTTAAAAGCATCACTCAATATGTTTATGAAGGGAGAAATAAAGAGGAGAAACCTAAGCCCAAACCTCATACAGTCTTGGCCCCTGCCCAAGCAGCTTCGGCTCCCTTCCAAGCTTGGGTCCCTGCCCAAGCAGCTCTGGATCCCATTCAAGATGTATCAGGGAAGTGGGGTAGGGGCTGCACCAGTGACTTTATTGTCACAAAAAGGGCCATTTTGCCAGAGAATGTAGAAAGAGCAAGTGAGACTTAAGGAATAGGAATAGAGGGGACCCTGGAGGAGCCCAGGGAGGGTCTTTGGCCTGAGAGTACAGGGGAGGGGCAGAGACCTTGGATTCTGAGAAGGATTTTTTATTTTTCCCCTGATCCCGATGTCTTTGCCCCAAGTATTCCAGTCTCTGCCTCTCCCTGCACCAGTGAACCCCATGTTTCCCTTAAAGTTGGTGACATAATTTACAGGTGCTTATTGGATACTGGGCCTTCTAATTCAGTTTTGATATAGAAACCAGATTCTGATGGTACTTCTATTGGATCTCTAAATGTTGTCAGGATCCTCGAAGAGGCCTCAAAGCATCCCCAAATTGTTTCCCCATATGGTAACTCTTGACACCCTGTCAGTAGAGCACTTTCTCCTTATTCCCAATATCCTGTCAACCTGTTAGGCTGTGCTGTCCTTTATAAACTTATGTTTCCCCTGGTGGCTCTCTAACTTTCCATCTCTCAATGGAGAGAGTCCAGAGTAAAGTCTGAGTTTTCCACCTTACATCTCCGACTCTCTGTGGACTATTCCTATCCTCCTTGTTAAGAAACCCAAGCCAGGCCCTGATGGTAAACCTGTTTATTGCTCTGTGCAAGATTTATGCACTGTTAGTGCTTACGTTCTACCTGAACACCCAGTAGTCCCCAATCTTGCAATCATTATCTCTTCAAATCCCTGTGAGGCTACCTGTTTTACTATGACAAATCTTTGCTCAGCATTTTTTTTTAAAGCATTCTCATTCACCTAGACCTCAGCACCTGTTTGCCTTCACCTGGAATAACACACAAAGTATGTGGACTCATCTGCTTCAAGGGTATGCAAAAAGTCCCAATTTTTTAATCTCAAATTTTACAACGGCATTTAGCTTTCATCACTTTCAAGGGCTCCTCTCTGGATCAATACATTGATGAGCTCCTACTATTGGCATTCAATGTCAAGGCTTGCTAAGATAACAGCTATCATCTTCTCCAATGTTAGCTGAGGGGTGATAAGGTTTCTAAATCAAAGGTACAGCAGTACCTGCTCCAGGTGGAGCAGGTCTGTCTGTGGGCATTTGCTCTGTTTCCCCAAAGTGCATACAAACTCTTTCACAGTTGTCAGTTCTCACAACCAAAAGACAATTTCATGCTATTTTTGGGGCAGCTGGATATTGCCATCAGTGGGTTCTCTTTTGGTGAGATCATTCAGCCTTTAGTTTTCCTAACCAAAGATAACGTTTCAGAACCATTGCAGCTTGAACCAGAACTTCTTACTGCCCTTACAGACCTCAAGAAAGCCCTGTTATCAGCCCCAGCACTGAGACTTCCAGATAATAGTAAGCCTTTTTCTCTTTTAATATGTGAACATTAACAGATGGCTTCCAGCTTCCTCATTCAATCCCTTGGATCCTTGCTTTGCCCTGTAGCATATTATTCTTCTCAACTAGATTCAGAGGCTGCAGAAACTCTGCCCAGTTGGTGAGTGGTAGCAGCCACCACCATTTTGGTTGAAAAGGCATATGACTTTTTTTTTTTTTTGTGAGGCAATTCAGGTTAAGTGACTTGACCAGGGTCACACAGCTAGTGAATATCATGTGTCTGAGGCCAGATTTGAACTCAGGTCCTCCCGACCCCAGGGTGGGTACTGTGCCACCTAGCTGCCCCATGATTTGGTTTTAGAGACCCCGCTTGTAATGCAGTGCCCTCATGAGGTTGAGGATCTCTTCTTGAGACATTGCATTCAAGCTTTCTCTGATCAAAGACTTGCTAGATAGGAAGTAATTTTATTGGGCAAAGAAAAGTGACTCTGAAGTCTTGTTCAGTTCTCAACTTAGCCATGTTAATCCCTGATATACCTACCAAAGAGGTATATCTCCATGACTGTTCCTCTGTTGTTGACATGGGTGAGAAACCCCACAGTGACCCTTGTGACACCCCCTTGCAGAACCCCGTATACATCCTGTACATCGATGGTTCCTCTTTTATGAGAGATGACACCTGGTACACAGGCACTGCCATGGTCTCTGACCTTGACACTGTTTGGGCAGCCTCTCTGTCACCTAGCCTCAGCACCCAAACTGCCTAACTGATTGCACTTACACAAGCTTGCCATCTGGCTGACAAAGTGCAACCATCTACATGTGATGCCTTTGGAGTTTGTCAGGCTGTCAGGATGCTATGATTGCAGAGGGGTGCCTTGATTTCTGGTAAGATCATTGCAAATGCACTATACATAGATGAACTTTTAGCTACCTTACAACTTCTTAGCTCTGGCTTGTCCATTCTCCTACTCACACTAATGGTACTGACCCTATTTCAAGAGTAACAATTATGCTGACACGGCTATAAAACTTGCTGCCCTTGAGGGCTCCTGGCATCTCTTTCCTCTTTCTGCTTCTGATAATGTTGACCTCTCTCTTTTACAATGACTCTGAAATTGCAAAGTAGAAACAGTGTTTTCATGCCAAGCAGGTTATCTGGGGTCTGGATGACTGTGGAAGGAAAACCACTCCTGTCTCAGGGTTTCTATCATCAGGTATGCCTGTCTGTCCTTAAGGAAGGCCATTTTGGCACACAAGGAATTGTTGATACTATTAGAAGGACATGGATCACCCGTATATTTGTGCCTCTTGTCCTACTCGTCAGGCGTTTAATCAACATGCATTCTGTCTCATTGGCTTTCCTGGCTGCCCCCTAGCTTACACTCCTTTTGAGCACTTACAAATTGATTTCATATGTATGCCTAAGTCTGGCCATTATAAGGTCTGCCTTGTCATTAATCAGCTCACTCAGTCAAAGCATTTCCCGGCTCCAAGGCCACAACGGCCTTCGTTGCTAAAATTATTCTAGCAGAGATCATGCCCTACTTTGACCCTCCTGCTCATCTCATTTCACTGACATGATTCTCTCCCAAATTTATTCCTGTCTTGGGATCACTCCTGGGTTTCATACCCCTTATTACCCCCAGAATTCTAGTCAAATCTGACGTATGGACAAAGAACTTAAGACCCAGGTTGGCAAACTGCACTGAGAGTCACCTTAAATGGTCTAAAGTTCTCCCCCTTGCTTTATTTCATCAGCAAAGCAGACCAAGGTGGGAATTATATCTTCCTCTTTTTGAAATTCTCTTTGGTCACCCTCTTATGAAGGCAAAGCCTTTCTCCCCAGCATATACATCATTACCGGGAGGAAAAGCTTCTGTTGCTTCTTATATACAGGAACTGCAAAACAGACTGAAGGAACTTCACAATGCAGGGGGTTCAAGTACAAGCTGGTTCCTTGGACTTTTCACTACATGATTTTCACCCTAGAGATAAGGTCTACACCAAGAATTTCTAGTGGACCAGCAGAACTCAAACTGCCTGGGAAGACCCATTCCAAGTATTGCTGACCACCCCAACTGCAATCAAGATCAGAGAAAAAGGCTCTTGGATACACTGTGCCCATGTAAAACCTTCTCCTTACTGTTTGACATAAGAACAATGTATATGAAAATCTTTTTATTTTGCTTTACCTTAATACCATCACCTGGTGTTTCTCCTTCACCCATTAATCTAGGGAATGAAAAATTGTCAACTATGAGAAATTGTATATTTTTTATGATACCGTTTGTTTTATGTCTCACAGTCATGCTCATCATATGTTTTAAATCTTCCTCATTTCCTTCTTGTTGTTTAATTCTGATGCTATTACTGACTGCTCTTTCCAAATTCCATTCCTCCTAGGAGGATTGAAAAAGACTTAATACTATTAGTAAACTTCATAGTGATATAGGACATGCTTTGTATCATCTTTAAGCAATTGGGCCCCCAAGGATGCTGGTTTTGTCATCATATACATGAGAGTGATCCTGATCAATGAATAGTACTCTCCCTATTACTGAAAATGAAATTCTCCCACAGCCATCAGATTACATTGACTCCAGATATCCTAAAACACCACCTTTGAAAGGGGCTCTTATGCCCTTTGCTTTAGTCACTTGTAGTATTTATGCTCCCCCAGAAGGAAAATAGAAGATAACAGGCCAAGACAAATATCACTGACCCAACTTTATGTAGCAATTAAAAAGGTTTGAGAGACATAGTTTCTGGATAATTTAATAATTTTATTAAAAAGGCCAACACATTATTAATAAAAGGATGGTCATTTGGCCTCTCTTAGACCAAGGACAATCATGGTGGTAAGCTCACAATTTATGTAATCTTTGAAGAGTAGGTGTTCAATGAGGGGCTGAGAGTAACTTCATGTCACCCTTGGACAGAAAAACTATATACTCAGACCACCCCAAGCCTTGGGCTATCTAGACAAAAAGATCTGTCTCTACCCAAGTTTGAGTACAACACAATGGGCTTCCCCACTTTCAATTAAATTCCTTGTGAGGTTGGGTGGGGTCTGACCTAGATGAAGAGTCAATTCAATCTCATTATCAGTAACTTCCTTCAAGAGACTGAACTTAAAATCACGACTTTGGAAGAAGGGGAGAGCTCTGAATCAGCCCCAAATATTGGTTATTAATAATCATTTCTCTCATTTATAACAAACAAGTTATTTTCAAATTTATTGGGACCCTTGATGCCATCAAATTTTGGACTGTATTGCTTGTAGTTGCCACTCCCTTTCTGAGTGTTCATTTCTGTGTCACCAAGATGCAAGGTCCTAGTGATACTGTCGACTTAGGAGATGTGAAGATATATAGTTAACTTTTGTTTTTCCTGATATTATCAAAGATATCCTTTCATTTGTGCTAAAAGCCAGTCTCTTTTATGATATTGAAGACAAGATACCTCAATTGTTATTTCTTTGGTCAATGTTACTTATAATGTCTCTAATTGGACCAAGTATGATGCAATCTTCAATACAAATTTATATTATGAGAATAATTGAAACTTTGGGGGAATTAAGTATCCTCCTTCAGAAGGTCCTTGGGGACTAGTAATCTTGGAACAATTCTTCATTTGTGGCAGTAAAATTTATTCCTCTCTTCCCTTGAATTGGTTTGGGATATGTATTTGATCCCACCAATATCAGTCTTTAATCATAGAAAGGGACCGGTGGGAAAGAAAACTACCAGAAACTGGAGAGTATGGTGGTTTAAATATCAAAAAAGAGAAGAGACCTTAGCCAGTGGAAAAGTGAATACAATCCAAAATCCTGTGAAAAAATATGAGCTAGGGATGAAGATTCCCTGGTCCCTATTTCCATTTTGTAAGGGTCCACAGCAGTACAGCAGGCTATTAGAAACTTTTCACTTGGAACTGAGAAACTCACACAGGCCACAAATGAATGTCTCCTCCCTCCAATTTGAAGTTGATTATTTCGCTCAAATGGTCTAACAAAAACCATGTGGTCTTAAACTTTATTATGGCTTCACAGGTGCTATGCCTGTGCTATGATCAATCAATCTTGCTGTTCCTATATTAACCAATTAGGAGATACTGTGACAAATCTTCATGAAATCCAGCAGGTTTATAGCAGAAAAGAAATTGCCTAAACCAAGTGACCCCTGGTGGAATTCTTCCACCTGGTTCACTTGGTTATAAGGGAATGGCATGTAAGCCACCATAGGCAAATGGGTTATCATTGTTTTATGCCTCATTATGGTTCTTAGACTCTGTATTAGCTGCTCTAAACTATTCAAAAGGGTCCTTCCCAGGGGTCTTTTCTTGATGCATAAGGTAGATAATGAACACATAAAAATGCTTATAAATTCAGCTTATAGATAGTGATCCAAGGGAGGAGGGGACAAGTTCCCCTCCAAGGATCAAAGAGGGGAATTGCGAGAATCAAACTGATTCCATCTTGTGAACACTGACTCCATTTTATGAACAAACTCCACTTTGTTGTTTTCTTGTAAATCGCCTGATTTCAGGGAATTCTCCTTGCTCCCTTTCCCCCTCCCAACTCAGAAAATCCCTAATCTTTTTTCCAGTAAGAAATCAGATTACCTAATCCTATATCCTCTGTTGTATCATGTTTATTGTTTTCTTTTAATATATAAAAATCTGTGTAAAATCTGTATTCAGTATTCATTTGTGCCTGCTGAGGGGCCTTTGAACCAGTTTATTATGCACAATTT